AAATATATCATACTAGTCGTTATGAAGCGCACGTCTACGTTATATTATATAGTATTATACCCATCATGTGTCTGTATACGTTGTGTTTTTTTACGTGTAAAATAAACGATTCGTTTTTATAAAATCACACAGTCTTGTAGATTATGTTATTATCCAGTGTAGTATTATTATATTACTATATGTTAATATAATGTTACATTTTAAAAGTGCCTATCTTTATTATAGTCGCATTGTCTGCAATTATAAGTTACCAAATGAACGTAGCTATTTTAAGTAAATGTAATTTGACGTTTAAAACCGATATTATTATTATGTTGTACAGATGTTTAAAATATACTTGTAAAGCATTTGTACTTTCATTCGAATTAGTATAAATATTACAGCCTAGGCTTCTATAAATTACCTAGGTACCTATATATGTTTTGTAATCTAGCTTGGTCATCGGTGCTCGTTTTTTTAAAATACCCAACAACAACTACAATTATTGGAATCTGATCTCTCTTCGAGAGCATTTTTTCCCGTAAGTCATGTTTTTAAAYAAAAAACTGGTCTCACACAGGCCCCTTGACGTATATAGATGTAAATTATAGCAGGCAGTACGCCGACAATGAAAACTCAACAGCACGGATTTCCTGCCCACCACTACGACCTAAAACCAGAGTTCACTAAAAAATTTTCTCGGCGCGTCCGTCGCCTAAAAATGAATTATTGGAAATGGTAGCGCGGTACTCTGCGGTCTGTCGGATGGTTATATGCCGTGAAAAATACTTCGTCGCAGAGTTTTGCAGCAGTACGACGGCGACTTCCACGACGTTTTGTTTCTTCTGACGAGGCGTACACGGTAGATAGGTACGTTGAAAATCGTTTGTAGTAATTGGTGATTAATGCTGTGCGAAGGTCGGTACAAGCATAACGTACCTATATTGTAAATACATGTATAGTGTTGTTACTTGTTGATATATTCAATATTGTATTATTAATTATTATTAAGTATTATATTTTTATATTTACGTATATCAACTTACGTTTAGGTATTCGTGCGTGATTTTTCCCCACGTCATATTATTATCATAATAATAATATTTATGATGACCAAAACAATTTACGTATGCATCATCTTCATTATATGATTCATAAGTTATGAASTTGGGMCCGAATGTGTTTGTGTACCTACTTATAATATATTATATAATATTAATATAAAAAATCAAGCTTCTGCAATGTTCAGAAAGATTTAAAAGACAATTATAATTTATAGGTAGTAAGTATATCTTATAATATATAAATATAATCTATATTCTATATAGTATAGATTATATAGGTTGGTAGCTTATATAAGATAATGACTTAAGCGGACGTGATGCCCGCATGTGTTGTCTCCGTCTTAAAAATGCGTAGTAAATTGTACGTTCGTGTAGCTCCGTTTGCTTAAAAATTAGAGTGAATTGACCTCTTATAAAATTTAAAGGTATGATTGTTATCTAGTCAACCTCATATGCTTTTTATTATATTTAAATTTTAAAGGAAGTTATRAGTATTTTAAGATGCACAAAAAATGTACAATTTTAAAATACTCATAACTCGCTTTAAATTTGATATAAAATAAAAAGCATATGAGGTTGTCTAGATAATAATCTTACCTTTAAATTGTATAAGAGGTCAGTTCACTCTAATTTTTAAGTTAACGGAGCTACACGTGTTCTGCTGAGCGAAAAATGTACCATGCTACGCATTTGTAAGACGGAGACAACACATGCGAGTATCACGTCCTCTTAAGCCTTTAGGTACATAATGTATAGGTATTATAATTTATAGTACCTACAACTAATTAATGTTTTTAATTTTGTAATTTTTAGGTTTGATACTATTTTCAATAACATATGTATTAATAAATAATCCAACTTTGATCAAATACATTTTCTTATAATTTATAAATGAATAATTTTAATGTAGGTATTCTATTAATAAAGTATAAGTTTAAAGTTTTTTATTTTTAAATTTTAAACAAATCAAGGCAGTTCATTTCTGATTTGAAATTAACGACTTTTATTCATAACTTGATTTGATGACTAATAATTCAAAATTATCGAAATATTTTGATATTTATAATTTATTAGCACCTATGTCCTATAATTATTCATATCATTGATATCTACTTACTAACTGCGTTAAAAAAAAATAAAAGATAGGTAACCATTATTTTGTCGTAAATTGTAATTAAAAAATAAATAATCTTTGAGTTTTATAACTGTTGAAAAATATTAAAATATAATAATTATTGGTCAATGAGATATCTGCAAGGTCAAAAACGAGTAACAAGTATAGCTTTACTCCAGCCGGTTGTTCTATTTAATATTATATACTATCTACTATCTACTATCTACCTATGCATGGTTTAAATCGAAATTACGAAATTAACAATACCTACCATTTCCGAATAGGCCCGCGAAATCKGAAAATTGTCTACCAACAGTACCAACTGCTTAAAATCGGCAAAATTTGATTGATTATCTTATAGACTTTACTGTCACAGTGTCATGTACTTAAATATAGAGTACAAACGGCTATCAAAATTGTAATGTAATATTTATATAGCATATATAGGGACGCAAATACACAGTATAATGTAATATATAATATATTTTAGCACGTAAGTCGAGAAAATAGGTAGGGATTGAAAAACAAATTGTGGTGGGCATTGTTCAAACAATCGTCATCGGCCGTAATTAAACAAAAAATATAATATTTTCAGATTTCTACTAAATATGTTATCATATAGTTTTATTTTATACTACTAAATTTTATATTACACATTATTCAGTTTCAAGACAAGTGAAGCGAAGATACTCCACCTGCATGGTGGCATCCGACATCCGGTGTTTATATTTTTTTAAATTGTTTTGCCTGTTTAATTAATTAATTATATATAACATGTAATTACTCAATCGTCAATTATTGATGTACGTCTGCACTATTGTAACTTTTATTTTATATTAATTTTAGTATCTGATAACCATAAGCGTGCGTAGGTATTCTTGGCAGGGGAGGCAATACTTTAGCTAAGGAGGTCCAGACTCCAATCCCCCCACCCGATTTTCWCCAATTGGTAGRTATAATATWATATTTTGGTGTAGAGGAAAATCTCGCAGGGGAGGCAACCGCCTCCCCCGTGCGCACGCTTATGCTGATAACTTATAAATAAAAATAAAATTACCTACCACCAAAGAACTCATATCCGTATATTTACCAATTATTTTATTAAAGTTAATAATTCATATGATAGTTTAAATCAACGGTAATAAAGGTTGGCTTAACAAATTTTAGTGACCTAGTCTTGATTATTATTCTTCTACATTTGACTTATAATAATATTCTGATTAAATATCTTTAATATATCACAAACAAGGTTTACTGCGAACTTGTACTACGTAGTAGCCAGCCCAGTAGGTATATATATAACCTACCTGGTTTATCTTTAATCTTTATTATATAGTTAGTTTATAACTTTAATGTAACAACACTTCATAAAATTCACCTATTGTCTATGCATGATACGTCATCAATTACCCCTATTGCGTGGGATTTAAAAAATCGAAATGTTGGAAAACGATTTTTATCTAAATATTTAATCATAACTCAAATATGTGAGAAAGAAAAAATAAAACGCACTTTTTTTAATCGTTAAACATATTTTAGCAAACAATTMAAATACAGAGTGTCATCAATGTGCATTTTTACTTGTGTAAATGACAGGGAAAAGTTAAGGAGAACTATATGTTGCAGACGAAAGTCGAAAAATATGSCAGTCAACTCAATGCTCATGAAAGTAATAATTATTATAAACAGTTTTTCAAAATTTAAATATCAKAAGGATAATGAGGTCATAGACCAAATTGACTGTCTAAATAATGGACTGCGTCATCAAGCTGCTATAATATTAGTGAAGTACCTACTGGTGTCAATTAGGTTTATCTCATACCTTATGCCAATGTTACTTTAATAACATTGAGATATAATTGGCAAATCCGTCAACACATGCAGTATTATGTGACTRGATGTATTTGTGCCATGTAAACTTGAACATATTTTAGAAAAAAGCATTTCTTACACATGCATTTGCAATTTGTACTAAATTTAAAGGATCTCCTCCTAGCCCATAGGTGTCTACTGTCTACGTTCATTATTAGTAGGTACCTATGTTTATTTGTTGAGAGGAATGAGAAAATTATCAGAAAGGAGTAAGGACAAAGGTATTTTAAATTTATTAATAAATTATATAATTATGATTTATGGTAGGAATTTATTTGATGTAATACTGTCATACAGCAATCGAAGAATCGCAAAACTAGTTCATATATTTTAATAACTACATTATATTATATAACAAGTATTATAGAAGATCGTGCAAAACATAAGTAGAAGAAAATTTTCTGATGTTGCCTACACAAAACCCCTCAAAATCATTAAGATATTTTTCATTTGTCTTTACAGGTTTACATGATTGTTGATGTTGATTTGTCGGTAGAAAACTTGAAGACGACGATGATGAGTGATGACCCTCCAGGGATGTAATTAATACAGTAAATTAATCGACACAAATAGCTTAACTGCTCTAATATGTATGATAAAAAAAATTAAATATCATATTGGAATGCAATTATCGAGGTATCTGGAATTTAATTTATAAATCATTATTACATATCGTTATTTATAGTTCATCAGAAATTATTAGCATTTAATATTTATAATTTATTATGTAGGTACCTATACATTATATAAGTACAATAAACATGCACATATAACTATAYAAGGGACACGACACAACCTTAAACTTACATGCAACTTTAAACATCTTAAGGCCTTAAACCCATAACTTAATGGTTTACATAACGTATTGTTTTGTTTTTTAAACAACAACATAGTTTCATTTTAACTTTATATTGAGTATAAATTATAATGTATCGTTTCGGATTGATGTTCAATAGTATTTATTAGGTACCTTCTATAATGACTTATTATAAAACGTATATTGGGTCTTTACTTACATCATTGAAAAGAATATTTATGAGCTTCTTCGAAATATGCATAATTGTTTTAATATTATGACAATTCAAAAACCTGGAATATAGCGACTAGCAATTATGTAWAGTTAAAATGTACAAAATATTTTAAAACAAAAAATGTAAAAGAAGTTGGATATACACACCACTGCAAAATGTGTACAGTTTCATATTAACACAGATTCAGTTGTCTGTATTCTGTCATTCCAAAAAAAACGAATTTAAATAAAATACATTCTTAACTCTTAAGTAGGTAAGTAGTTATTTTTTTTATACTTACCAACATTATGGACACATAAGTAGTAAAAACACTAAAAACTCATAATATTTTAGCGGGGCAGCAATTTCCTAATAATTATGAATTATGCTTCTGGCTGACATAAAATAATAACTACCTAGGTACTAAGGTATAGCATGGACTACTGGTAAATATCTAATCTATTTGTTYATTAAATAATTTTATACTAATATGATGTATAACATAATAATACAGGTATCTACAACCTACCGCTATATAAACTTGTTAATTTTAATATTTTCACTATGACTGATAATTCTTTTGAACTGCCATGGAGCGCTGACAATCCAYTGCACTTTGGAAACATTCCGGAAAATCCAGTCATCGATGAGATCATCTGTCAATTGGAAAATTTTTTACGGCAAAGAGAAAAACTCAGTTGTCCTACTGATGAAATAGACACTAGAATATTATCAGTCATTCGATATGCTATGGATAGCGTTAAGAGTTTAATGGAACAAAACTTAGCGTCGTTAACAGACATTCAAAAACAGTTTTTAATTAACAAATGTAGGTTGTTCATAAAAGATGCAATCAAAATTGTTGAGAAAACCTTGAAAATACAATCCACCTAAGTTACAGTTAAAATCAAATAAATATTTATATACATAAAACAATCACTATATTGACTTCTATAGAATTATTATTTTTAATTGTAAATTGATCAACTCACACTACTTTCACCAGGGCCGTAGAAACGGGGAGGGTTTAGAGGTTCAAGCCCCCCATTAACAAAGCAGAAAATGTAAAAATGTCTAGGATATTCTAAAAATTGTAAACCAAAAAAAAAAAAAAAATTGAATATGAATAAAACTCAGATCTTTATTAATCAAGTCTTATAAGGATCAAAAATTTTTTAAATTTTTAAATTTTTTAAATTTTTAAATTTTTTAACCATTTTTTTTTCTTTTGTACTTAGATTTAAGTATTAACAATTTCAATTAGAATACAATAGGTTACTTTTTTATTCAATAAATATTTTAAATCTTAGTATTATTTCTTTAAAGACTTAAACAAAACTGAGCAATTCAGTTAACTAGTGTTTATTTATACAGAAAAATGTATAATTCCTGAATGAAAGTTTAAAATAATAACAAACTATTCCATTCTGAAACTAGTCTCTGATGTTTTTATCTTTTTATATATACCGAGATCACTGTTTTATTATATTCAATTGATTCATTTTATGTAATATAATTACTTAATTGCTCTGATACATTACTACTAATTTAAATTTTTAATAAATAATATATATTTTAATGTTTACGTGTATTACATATGTATACATTATAGTACATTCAATTATAAATTCTTTTTTTTTATTCTAACATTGATACAATCTAATCATAATGCAACTATACAAACATATAAATTTAGATTAAACATTAAATAAAAAATTATATGTTTTTTAAGTTTTTAATTTTATATTTCATAATATAATAATAATAGGATTTTTAAGAAATGTTATAATTTATATAAATTGGTTTATTTTTTATTATCGAGTATTAATTTGGAAAGTAACTTTAATAATATAATACTTAGTTAATGTTTTGTTCTATTTATAAATGAGATCAATTTGTACCAAAAATGTCAAATAACTCTGAATAATAAATTTGTATAAAACAATGTAGTTAGACATGCTTTAACTTGAAAGAGTAATTTGATATTTGATGTAAATTAAATGTAAATTCTGAGTGGGTTGGATTTTAATTAAATGCCATACAACATTTATTTTTGAATACAAATAAATCTTAAAATTAATACAAAAAAAATGTAAGTTAGAGCATATTTTAATGCAACAATAACATACTAACATTTGTTTTTTCGAGGTCTACCTCTTTTACCTTTTGGTTGTTGAGCTCGTTTAGCCAAACATCTTGGACAAWACCAAACAGCACAGTCTGGAGGACACTGGATACCGACACACACCCAATGATACCAAACATCACATCCATCACAACCAATCATTGGACTACCGTCATCTGGTTTAGTGCACATAGGACATATCCATACTTGATTACCAGCTTCATCAAAATAGAATGCTGGCGGAGGAGTTTCATCTACAGGAGGTATAACTGCAGGCTGAATGGGTTTTGTAACAGTTTTAGTTTTATTTTTTTGAATAGGAACTTTAGGAGGAGAATCTGTGGTGTGTAATATATCTGTAGAAATGTCTGATTTTGATTCAATATCTACTTCAACTTCCATTGGTTCAGGTTCTGAAACTATGGTTATATTAACTTCTGGTGATTTTTCAACAGGTAAAACTTTTGTTGCAGTTTCTAATCGAGCCCCAAATCTGAATTTTAGTTTTGGCACTTTATTGGTAGATTTTAATTTTTCTTTTTTCTTTTCTTTCTCTTTCTCCTTTTCTTTTACCTTTTCCTTTACTTTATCTTTTTGCTTTTTTTTTTCTTTTTTGCCTTTTTTTTTGTCTTTTTTCTTTTTCTTTTGTTCTTTGCGATTAATATCTTCATTTTCAACTTGTAATACAGGACTTACTGGTTTTTCTATTATATCAGGTACATTAATTACAGGATTAATTATTTGTGGAAATGTAGTTGGTATTAATCCAGGTCCAGAAGGTAAAGKACCAAAAAATGAAAATTTGGGCAGAACTTCTTCCATTTTTACTTTACTAGTATGGGGTGTTAGAATAACTTTTTTTGGAACTTCTATATTTTCAGTAACATTTACAATATCAATTATTTCCTCTATAACAGGTTCTGGAATAGACGGTGATTCTGGTTCTAGAATTTTTTCTTCCTTTGGTTTCTTTTTTTTTTTCAATTCTTCTGGTTTTTGTTCTTTTTGTTGTAAAAGTATTTTTTTTGTTTTAGAAGATTTGAGTTTTTTCTTTGTTCCTGATTTAGTTTTTTTTTTGTTGGTTGAAATTCTTTGTGATGGTTCTTTTGTTAAATTAGGTAAAATACTGGACAATTTAGATGTTTCAAGAGGCTTATCGATTTTAATTTCTGGAAATGGCAATAATTTAGATTCTGCCAATCTGCCTTCTCTAGATGGTGATAAAAACCCACCAGATGTCATAACTACACTTGAAATTTCTCTTAATCGTTTGTGTAAAATAACTTCTTCTGGTTCTTGTTTAATATTTTCAATACTTTTTTGACTTTGCTCTATATCTGTTGTTTTTTCTTCTTCAATTTGTTCTGTATACAATGTTGGAAGATGTTCATGAATATGAACAGGTCTAGTCACAACTTCTCTACTTCCTGGCTTCAATGTATTTAATACATTTTTTCCCGGTATATTTAAAAGAGGTAAATTATGAGGAAATTTAACTGGACCTGTACTTTTTACATATCTACGCAATTCAACCAAAGATACCGATTTCTGACGAAAGGCCTTTTCTACATCTTCGATATCAGGTACATTGTTATATGCATGTTCAGCGTATTTTTTAGATGTTTTAGACAAATCACTGATATAGTGGTGAAGAATATCAGTCAGAATTTTCATCGAAGAGTCTGTTATTGAATGCCACCCAATATTATTACATATTTGGGCAACAGAAATTGTTAACGTTTGTCTTACGAAGTCATCCATTATGGTTTTTTTTAAACTGTTTTAATGAAATGCAAGTGTTAAAACTACTTACGTTTAAAATGTATTCATTTTAGAAAGTTAAAAGATAATATGGCGCTTGGCGGTTAATCATGCAATTTTAAAAATTATTATGTTTACATTGTTTACTGTTTACTTATTACAAAAACAATAAATTGCTGTTATTTTATTAACGTTATTTTAGATTTTTATCACTTAACTTGTCCTATCTAGCATTCTAGCGTCCCAACTCCCAATAGGTTTTAAATTTAAACCATGGTTGAAATATAGTTATTTTTGATAATAAATCGTGGTAACGACTAAATTTAATGTATTTTTATGCTATTGGTCGTTTCACACAATATCAAATCCGGCATTTTGATAAACTCTATTATCACATATTCACATGCAATGCAGCATATTTGGCTGCGATACGTGATCCGGTGATCCATAAAACTTAAAAGTTATCCTTATCACTTATAAGAATTAAGATTTAAGAGTTAATAGTGTTAAGACTGAATTATTTAATTTCAATAGTTTGAAATCAAAATGTTTTAACTAAAGTTTTCTTGCTGAAATCTTAAATAATCTATCTTATTAAAAATAAATATGACTTTAAGAAATTTATTTACATCATTTTACCGACTTCAAAATGGATATAAATATAAGCATAAAAGTTTAAATAACATCACTGTTTATAGTTTTTCCAGCCAGCCACATGACCGTAAGTCAAATTAAATATTATTTCTTAATTTATTTTACTATTCGTTATTGAATTTTATTGTTTTTACTTTAACTTCTATGTATACAAATAAACAAAACATAATATCTATTTTACACTTAGGTTTTAAGTCAAATATTAAAACTATTATTTATAAAGTGCTTTATACTAGTGGCATAAAACATATATTTTGTGTTCTGTTATAGAAAAAAGTTTTGATTTTATTACTATTATTATTCCAGGAGAAATTACTAAAGAATTGAGTAATATGTTTTTTGCTGAACCTGTACAAGATTTATTGTTTAAACTTACTCATGTTGATGTACAAAAAGCATTTAGAAAACGTTTTATTGGACAAAATCCTGACACTCCAATTTATAAATTTATGACCACTGCAGAAGTTGAAAAAGTTTGTTCATTTTTAACACGTTTACTGCCATGTAATCACCGGGATCATCTGTCATTCTTAAATTTTCTGTTGGCGACCATAGTATTGATCATCACTATCATACCACATGCCAACAGCTACCATAAATTAATATGGTTTTTTATTACTAACTTTTTTTATTGCTACAATAATGTATTAAAAATATTGCAGTGGCTTAGTGGGAGTCATTATAATTTTTTTGATATYATAAACATACCTGATCTATTATTTTTACTTTTTTTGAAGTTTTTAAAGTTTAACAATGTATACTTTTTTGAAAGATATGGAAAAATATGCATGGTGTTTAATAATACATATGGTGTGATCTCCGGTAGTCACATGGCAGTCAAATTTTTAATAATTAAATAGTTGTAATATTATAAGAATATGTTCATAGATTTCTTGAATATAATTTTTTTTTACATAGATGCAAGCTGAAGTTAAACTAAAAGCTAAAGAAAAAGTTCAGATGCCACCAATTGTACCATTACGTACAGATTTAGGACAAGTATTGGACGTTAACAAGGATATAATTGGTTTTGACAGCTCAAAATTCGTATTTACAGATATTACTTTTGGTGTATCTGATAAAGTATTTATTTTATTAATTTAATTATATAATATTATCTTAAATTTTTATTTACTTAAAAACTAATTAATTCACATAATTTATAGAAACGCATAGTTGTGGTACGAGAACCTAATGGAATACTGAGAAAAGCTAACGAGGATGAACGTCATGCTGTAAATCAAATATATTTTCCTCAATCAGGAAGAGAATTAAAGCATCCAGTCATGTTTGATGATACCAATTTAAAGGTATTACTCAGAAAAAATATTTTTTTTTATCCTCTATTTTCAAATTGTATTTTTAAATATAGCCTCTTCTTGAAAATGGTGATTATGAATTCATACTGGATCGTGCWTGTTGTCAATTTGAACCTGATGATAAAAACTATCACCGTGTTGTATTCAGTACATATAAACATGTTGATGAATCTAAAAATTATCATCTTTTGGAGTCCACAAGGCATTTAGGACCTTTACTGTTTTATTTGGCTTTTAATAAAAAGCCAGATAACTTTTTGTTATATTGTTTAGAAACTGAAAGGTATTTACTATTTAATATTGATTTTATATTAATTGTAGTTTAAACAATTGAGATACGATATGATAACATTTTAGGTTTGATGATGTCATGTTGTTTATACAATTATATACAAAGTTAAATCAAGGTCTGGAGATTGAATTGGACGGTTCAAAAGACAAATTTAAGTTAATAGAGGTAAATTTTTTGTTAGAATCATCAAAAAAAAAAAAAATTATTTTTGTTTAGTGTTATTAATTATATAAAAACTTTATTTTGTTCAAGGATTTTATAAATACTGAATGTATTGATAAAGTAAATTTGGAAGAAGCATTAAAAAATTACATTACTAGGAATAGTGAAATAGCATCTAAATCAAACTAAGTATTTAAGTAATATATAATTATATTTAATACTTCATACAAAAATATATATATGTGTGTGTGTATCAATGAATAGGAATATTGTCCATAAAAAGAATACTCGATGGTACTGTAATGTATATACAATTATTAAACATTAGTTTTCATAAAATATAAACACAAATGTTTGTTATATCAGATTCAAAAATATTATTTATCTTTTGCACATCTAAATCCAAGATTTGATGCAGAACTATCTGGTGTATTTTGACTTCTTGCAGCACATCGATAACGATAACAATAATCTTTGTGACACAAGTATGACCCACCTTTTTTAACCTTTTCTTTTCCTTCTGAAGGACCGCTCTAAAATAAATAAGACCCTAATTTAGTTAAATTTTAATCACTAACTTGAAATGCTAAATTGCTAAACAATTAAACTCACTGGATTTACTGTAAATCTTTGGTCATGATYCACACTCCAAAAATCATTTGTCCATTCCCATACATTTCCTACCATGTTATGAAGACCATAACCATTTTTTGGGAACATATTTACTGGAGCTGTAGTTGCCCAACCATCATCAGCAGTGTTTTTGAATGGAAATTCCCCTTGCCAGATATTGGCTCTTAGAAAAAAAAAACAATATTCAATTAATTGAGCTATATTATTTTATAATTGTCGACGTATAACTATTAGTTTTGTTATTAAATAAATTACATATTATATGGTGCAGATGAAGTGTATTTTGCCCAGTATACGAGTAGCTCAAGTGAATTTTTGATTTATTTAACATTTACTTTTAGCTAAATATTTAAATATGCATTCTTTTTTAAAAATTGTTAATACATCRCTCTCATTTAAATTAAATTAAAACTGTACTGAATTTTTAAAGAACGCTATATTATAGACTGCTTTAAAAATACTAACAACACACATTTTACGCAAGGTTGTAATCATACAATTTCTTAAATGTTGAAACCTTCATTCTATTTATGAGTACTAAAATTATTTTGATTAGTTGATGAGCCTTATTAATTTTGAGATGAAATAATCATGACATGATAAAATCGAGTGTTTTATATAAGGTTTTATAATATCTTTTTAATGTTGGTGATTAAATGGTTATTTTTTTAACTGTTAGGTATTTTAGTCTATAAATAATAAGTAATAAGTAGTTACACTAATGTTAGGTTAAAATCTCAATAAAAAAAAAAGTTACAATACCTTATTTTATATGGATAAAATGTGTTTTACTAAGCAATGTATTCTATTAGTCATTTACCTATATATGTTATATTTATATACATTACTTTGTTATTTGTAGAAATACTTACCAACTAATTCTCATTTTATCAAGTTCTGTAATTATTTTTTGTAATTAAATGTCTAAATCATCATTTCCTAGGATTTATGTTAATGTTTATAAAATATAAATATGATTTAATCACACTCTGTTGCTGTTAGTAAGGGGCATTAATTGAAGATGAACTAAAAATAATTTATTTAACTTTAACTTTTAATAAATCATAAATATTGAATAACCAAAAATCACCTATGTTTGTTACTTGGGAGTAACTTATTTCCCCAAGGATAGAGTCTATCTTTGAGATTACCCCTGCAAGCAGCTTCCCATTCAGCTTCAGATGGTAACCTTTTTCCGGCCCAGTTACAAAATGCTGTGGCATCATTCCAGCTAACGTGTACAACAGGATGTAATTCTCTATCTAAAACAAAATGCTATTAGCATAAAGTTATTTATCAAGTATGTATAATTGTTGTATAAATAAATTATTATATTACTATTGATATCAGAATCTTTCCCTTCAGGATGTTTCCAATTAGCACCTTTGACTGGTACCCACCATGGAGCATCCTTCACAGCTTGTGTTATGGATTTTAATGTAGTTTTACTGAGAAATAATTGAAATACAAACGAATCTCCRAATACTTCTGCCTCTGTTTGGTATCCCATTGTTTCAACAAATTTTTTGAATTCTAAATTGCTTACTTCATATTTATCAATAAAATAATCATCTAAGTACACAGTACGGGATGGAGATTCTCCGTCAGATACAATTTCTGGTTTATCAGTACCAATTGTAAAATTCTGTCCTTTGATTAAAATCATAGATTCTAATTCYGATTCTAATGTTTCCGAAGGACCTGTTGCTGAAGATGTGCAAACATCTTCTTTAGTGTTTGTTTTAATGCGATTTGTATTACATCCACAATCTGCATTAGAAGATAAAATTCTCATAAAAACAAAAATAATATAAAATAATTTCATCTTGATGTCAATATAAATAAATAAAAACGATTCTAATTGTGAACTGTTATTAGATGTTATATAAATTTAAAACTTGAACATTTCAAATAATTTTCTATTTCACCCAAATCAATTAATCATTATAATAATATGATACATATTGTGTTCTGTAACTACTACAAGTTATAACAATACGTTTATACACCTATGAGAATATTGAGAATCTGTATTGAGTTAAGTCTGTAAGTTTAAACATTTTCTCGATTTTTTGTCACGTTTTTTGTTTTAGTATTATCTTAAATCGGGATGATAATAACTGTTATCACTTCAACCATGGTTGCAACCATGACTAATATACGAGTATGGATTTGTTATGAATATTGTGATTAATAGGTACGTAGAATCGTATGGTAGAATTGACGTGAATAGTATCWCATGACACAATATAGTACATACTACATAGTAAATACTACTATATTACTATATTAGTCTAGTTTACAATTTATACTACATACAGTACATACCAGTATGTATTTAGTATTTTTAACTATTTTATGTTACGATTTTTAAGTTACAAGTTACAACTACAACGTCTACCTCTACAATAAATTGACCACTGGATAGTTGTTATTTGATTTAAGTATTAAAGTTCATGGATTTCAGCTTTAAAGGTTTTACCTATTAATGCGTGGTTGACAAGATCAACATTTAAATTCTCGTAATGTCGTCAATCATGGTAACTACCATTGTTAAATTATCATATATATTGAATTCAAATATGTTTTTCTCTAACRTAGTTATTTGTAAAATTTAAATTGTATAATTAACTACAAGATCATTGATTATTTTTAATTTAATTTTGAATATAATATAATAGGTATAGTTAGTGTTGTTGTTATGGCTAAAGAAATAGGTACATTAATTAATATTTCTTTAATCATTGGTTTAAGCAGGCTAAAAATTTGAGGTTTTTTTTATGAATTTGAGTATCAAAAGCCATCACACACTTAATTATTGCAGCACCATTTTAAAATTCATGTCAAATAGCTAAACTATTTAGTTTTGCACTCTGTACAAACTGCACTATACAAAATTATGTATTTCAGATGGACGATAGCGGAATAGACAGTGATACTACTAAGCGTCATAAGACTGCAATCGAAGAAAATGACAKAGTAAGTATAAATACATGTTATACAAAATGATTTTTGAAGCAAGCTCATCTTCATACTTCCCTCTCAGTAGATTTATTAAAATTCTGATTTTTAAAACTTATAAGTATACTAATACCTACCTAAACACAATATTTTCAAATTTCTTATATTTTTAGTACTATTGAACGAATTATAAACTCAAAATTTGCCTACTCAAATTTTGATTAAGGTTCTTCAAAATTCTAATAGAAAATATCTGCTGAATTTTCAACATAATAATTATATAAACAATTTAATAATATATCAATTCTTATAATGTGTGGAAAAACACAGTTAAACCTTGAAATAAATATTTTTATTTTTATTGTAGAACAGTGACGAGGACAGCAATACAAGTGATTGTTCGATGAGAGTTACAAAACCTTCATTTTTTCAGAAAAAAATGGGCAAGTCGATTAATCAGTTTGCAACCAACATATTATTTTCTTTATCATTGTATGATTTTTAGTGTAGAAAGACACCCTGTTTTATTTTTATTTTTGTATATTTTGTTTAGATTTAGCTTTATGTTTATTGAATTTTCAAATTATTTTATCATGCACGAATGCACGATGAAAGAAAAATAGTGGTAAGATTTTTATTTATCAATTTAAATTTTTTTHAAATTATTATTACTCCTTTAAAATTGGTTTTTTTTTAGTCCACATTTTGWTGAGTTATAATTATCTTTGCATTTTATTTCAGAACAATATGCTAAACCAGGCTTGATGGAGTACAATCAAATGGCTGTTCCAAACAGCAAATCGACCAAGACAGATAAATTACCAGTTTTAGTAGATTGGGATTCATCTGACAGGTAATGTATATTTAATAAAATCACATAAAATTCATATCATCTATCAAACAATAGAATTTGAGACTTGATTCATCTAAAAAGTTAAAAATTTACATTTTGGTTTTTTTTTATAGTGAAATGGAAATACGTTTTTTTCCTGGACCAAAAGCTAGGCAAACATTGAGTGATACTTTCAGTCTGCAAGAATTTCATGGATCTATAGAATCTGAGGACTTAGATTTAATACCACCACAGCATACAACTAAAACCGATGATCAATGTTGCAGTTTGGTTTTGCAGAGGTGTACAATTATTTGAGATCTTTTACTAATTCAAATTAATTAACATAACTTCCTCAAAAATATATGACATGCATTTTATATAAAATAAACCAAACTTACCAATGACTAATGAGTGTTGTGTTTACCAGCTATAGTAATATTGACTGATGTTAGAAGCTGAAATGACCAATACTGATATTATTTATGAATGTTTAATTATTGTGTTTTTTTTGTTGTGTCAATAAATTTTGTTATTAAAATATTATTACTTTTTTTTTTCGAGGAACCCCGCGGCAACATAGGTCATTGGGTGTTGGGTGGTACGGTAGGGGTTATTTTTGTATATTTGTTTATAGGTTTTTAAGTGGGTAGGGTTGTGACACGTGTTTGTGTATGTGTGGCAAGGATTATGTTGCTAAAAATCCCGGGTGGTCACCCATCCGGGAGCTACTAACTGCGGCCGGTACCTATGCTCAGTGCATTTCCGCAGATTGAGCGTACGACCGCGCCTCACCAAGCCATAATATTATTACTATTTATTTCCTACTGATTTTTATAAAAATAAAAGAAACATAAACATCTTCTATGTTTTTAGGATTTTACTTTAATTTGAAATGCACATTTATTATTAGTAATAAATAAAATTCTTATTACATTATAATCATTATACATAAATTTAACTAAGTTCAAGTTGTAACTAAACCAACATTAAGTATTTATAGTTTATACTCTTAAATCACATGATTCCATTATTTTGGAATTCAGTATATTTTTATGTGAGGTTAAATTGAACATAATTTTATCTTTATTTTACACTAGAGGCCAGACTGCCARAGTGATATTTGGTACTAATAAATAATAAAATAAAACGATACGCTAGATTCAAATTGAATATTATAATATAATATTGTATTCTACTCCCGCAAGTACGAAGATTGCCTATATAAAACGCCGTGTTAAAAAATAACTATGGTGAAATTTCTATTTAATGAAGTTTTTGACAACCATGACCTTTATTGTTAAATTACCCATGGGCTATGATAAATTCTATTCTACTAATTATTCTACATTCCAATTTTTTTTTGCTTGCTCACCATGTGACTGTTTAATATCATCCCAATAGGCGTAAGTTACTAAGTTAGTATATTATAACATTAAAGCAGTGTAATGAAATTAGAAAATCAATCTTTAATCTCAGCTTTCGAACTGTGGCCAAATTGTGTAAAAATTTATAATTTAGTTGACATTTTTGAAAAATGGAATTTCAATACATATATATATTGGTAACATTTATAATGAYATAACATATTTCAATATTTTATATTTGTTTTATTCATAGTTGGGGGATTTTAAGTTTTCCCAGAAATGTCTGATAGATGGAGGTGTATAATACTTAGTCACTTATATAATAAATGCAATTATAATGCCMCTTTTAGCATAGCGTTTTTATCGGTGATACATGTCTCCTGGAAACATGGTGTGACCACACGTCTCGCACAGTGGCGTACATAGTGTGTAGGGCTATAATGTTAGCAAGTGATCTAGTACACAGAGGTTACTACTGTATATTTAATAGTTCGTCTGTTTTACTCGTCAGTCAGTCGTCGGTGTGTTTGTATGATAGCGAGGGTAATCGGTGCAACTAAGTCAAAATAAGCACGCTAAAAATTATTTAAGAAGTTATGTCCCATTAAGTCACAAAAAAATCAAGAGCTTAAGCATTCCCTAGTTAAAATGTCTAGTTGCGTCGATGGTGAGGAGTAAGTCAATGCTATCAACGTAAAAATAAATATCGAATTAACTATATAAACTAATTAACCAATCTTTAAATAACTTTAAAGTAACTGATAAACTGTCATTACTATTGCCAGTCTGGGCGTCTGGCAGCATATTATTATTATTACTATTTTATTCAGTAGTTATATGCACAATAATGAAAATTTTACATAATCTATTATATAATATGATTGTATCATTAGTACCTAATACTCGTAAGCCACAGCAAATACACCACCATCCGATCAACTTCTCCAAATCGTTACAAGTTTCCTTAACGAGTTAAAATTAATGCTAAACCCCCTCCTAGCTGCTCTAACATCCCTAATAAATAAATTTCCACTCCTTAATTAACACACGTATCACATATCTTTTGATCATCCATACCATATACTAATAATAAATTCTAAATTCTAAATTGTATATAAACTTGTAATAACATGTAATATGTTGACACATTTTAAATATAATAAATGAAAAAAAAACTGGTATTGTCATTTGTCAACGGTCTAAGAAATATT